GCGCAAATGTTCTACGACGGCGTGTGGGTACCAGATTTTGTTGGGCGGCAGTTTTATATTTTCACAGTGCCTAAAAAAATGTGAGCGTCTTATTGGGGTAAGATTTTCTCTGCTTTAGCGAGCGGGGCTGCATCACCTAAAAAAATGGGAAATGTCGACATTTTGAAGCCATTAGCCTGGGTTCTATGATAAAGTAAATCTGTGCCCGTTTTAGAAGCACTTCGGCGGTAATCTTTGAAACTACTTCGCCCGGTCGTCGCGAAAACAATCGGGCGGATGACCGGAAGGACTTGCGAGGTGAGACGACATTTTTTTCCCAGGAATCCTCGGGTTTTTTTTTGCTCGATTCTCAACATTTTCCGTGCAGAAGCGACAAGCTTTTTGCATATCTCTCTCGCGCTCTCTCACTCTATCTCTCTCTCTCTCTCTCGCTTTATCTAATTCTCTCTCTCTCTTTTTCGCTCATCGATAAAGCATCAGAAATCTGGGCGTTTTTTCGAAAACCCTGCAATTCTCGAGTAGTATCGATCGACTTGACTTGTCTTTTAAGCCCTGGCCTGGAATAAGACGGTGGTCAGGCTGAGGCCCGAGCGATGCCCGTGCGACGAATTGCATGAAGCTGATTTTAAGGTAAGCGGAGATCGATCAGATGTGATCTCAATATAAATAGGGAATTCATTATGTCAGAATTCCGAAATGTGAAAATTTCAAAATGACGAAATCTCATAGTTCTGTGAAAAGAGCCATATTTCGACATTTTTTTTTCTATGGTGCTTGGGATATTCCGTGAGGTTTGTTCGTGTATCGCTATTATGAGGTTTCTACCGTAGGAAAATTCGAGATTATGAAAGGAAAATTATGAATTATGACATTTTGAGAAATTAAGGAATCTCGATGTTATGAAATTTTGGGATTTCTAAAGTACCTTTCCTGCGCTTTCCTTAATTCAGGTGCATAAAATCTTTAAAAAATTGTAAAGCCCTATTAATTTTAATTTTTGGCAGAGTCCGCCAATTCTAAAAGAGCCGTGGCGGTGGCTTCCCCTTCTCTGCACTGTAATCTCAATCTGCTGGACCTGCAGGCTGACCGTTCACGCGGAGGATACGGTAAGTCCCTTCAAAATTTTCGAAACGCGTTTGCTATGTATTTCTAACCTGTGGTCTACTATTCCTATGCGTAGAAAACTGCAAATTTAAATTAACTAGAAACTACAAAAATAAAAATATTTTGTAGGAAAAACTCCTGCTTAACCTCTGGGGGTCCATATTGCTGCTACTCCTGGCAGTCGGTAAGTTGGCATACGGTAGATTGGTCCACAAATCACGCTTTGAGGCCTGATCTTTTGTGGCGACTTGGCACGTCTGCGCCAATGGCATCGACACCGGAAAACCTATGATATTGACGTGATTTTGATGTAAACGTAATTTTAATTCTATCTTATAAATAATCCTAGCGTATTGCCAGCTTGAAAGTGCCAAAAATAATTTAAAACTTGTGTTTATCGTTTCAAAAAAAAAAAGAAAAAAGGCTCTTGCTTCGGCTTCGAATTGTGATCCTGGAACAACTTTGAATTTAAATGATAAAAATTGTTGCAATTGCTGAAAATCACAAAAACGTGTGAGAACAGATGGAGAATTTTTACGTAAATTAAAAAAACTTTCTCTAACAATAATAACACAACACGACACGCTTTTTTAAAAATGGTGCCAATGACCATTTCCCAGCTTCCTTTCCTTCCAGATTCCGAAAGTTTCCGGAGTGGATGGATAGCATGTTCGGATGAACTCGGCGTACTTTCCCTACTTCCGCCCATATCTATTCCCCCGATCAAGGAAGCCGTTTGTCACCTCGTGGACGCAATTTATTCGTTTTTCCGGCTCTGCCATTGTCACCACATCGAGTGCGAGCACACAAAAAGGCGTCTCTTAAGGAAACAATTTGTCATTATCATTGTCAAAATCCGAATTAGGCAATTGTCAGTTCTCGGCGTTGATTAATGACTAAAAGGCGAACGAATAGAAGCCAGCAATTTCTTTGGTTGGCGTTTGTGAGAAATACCACGTAATTCAGGGAGGTAGAGGCAAAATGGCTTCTCTTTTTCTCAACCGGAAGTAAACGCATATGAAAATCGTAGAATACTGACTAACTTGAAATTTTGTATACCTCTGTTCATAATTCGATGGCTGCTGGATGCTACGTTATGCTGCTATTTGCTAGAACTTTGCAAAAGCCCCCGGCCCGTCAGCGCCCTAAACGACCATCGCGCCTTTTTGTATACCTCGTTAGCTCGGATTTATGGGGTGCTGGTTAGCGCATCAAGCCACACCACGGTCATTCCACGATACGGATTTTCTTCTGCTTCCGCAAATAAGGCTTGGATTTTACTGAAGAGGATCAGGAAGGTTATTCCCAGGTTGGAAGGGGGAGTTGAGATCATCAAAATCGGACAATGCGCCGCCGAATTACGAAATTTTTCTGGACTTTTCTTTGCATACCAGTCGATAGAGCATCAAAAACGCACTGAAAAATTATTTTACATCAACGGAAGCTAATATAAAGAGGTCATAGCAACAACAAGAATAAAATTTAATTAAATTTCCACACATCCAAAATGAAGCGGAAAGCCATTTGTCGATATTTTTACAAATTGGTAAAGTTGTAAAAACTAATTTAATGTATTGTATTTCAAAAAGTATTTTTTTTAATTTACGGCCAGGGATAATAGCCGTCTTAGGGCTACCCATTTAATTTTAAAAATTTTTAGAAAAACCTAATTTTAAAAAATTTGGCACTAACCGCGGGGGGGGAGGCTAAAGAAAACTCGTAGCTTATCCTCGAACATGCCAATATCGTTTTTTTCTAAACTTATGTGACGTTGATATGATTCCTTTCCCGCACACCTTCCGTTCTGCAACTGTTGACTTTTGGTTCTCTTACTTTTGGTTAGTTTCCCGTGGTTCAATTTTGGCCTTCACCCTAACCACTCAACCACCTTCCTCCTCGGCTCTCACCACAAAAAGGCACCTAATTGGCATCAGAGTCGAGCTCCTTGGTGACGGGTAAAACTGATCGCGCCCATGTTTCGAGAACTTAGCACAACCTCTCGTGTCAGACCGCTGGGGGTGAAATGGAAAATGTTGTGCCCCCCCACCCCACAAGCTTCAGCGCCAAAAAAACCCGAGTTTGGCAGCGGGCCGACAGGGCGGAGAAGATCGCAGACAAGGCACGATTTACGATAAGCATAGCCTGGAGGGTATATAGCCGCCGCGCGGAGAACGCGACGGCTGCCCCTGGACTGGGTCCGCTTTTCCCTTTCCGGAATGCACCAAAGGGCATGATCGCCCGGCTGGGGGATGTGTGTTTTCATTCGGCTGGCAGCAGTGTGCGAGTTTTTCGATGCGCTGGCATGTAGGTCTCTTTTAAAGCGACTTCAGGTCGTTCGGAGATAGCGGTCTTAAACTTTTTCCAAGAATGATACACTTTTTTTTGAAAATCCAGGTCCTTTCTTTCCTAACTCCTTTAAAAGTCGCCGAACGACATGGAAAACCCCTAGAAAGGGTCACATATTTACGACGGTTTGAAAGTGCGGCTCAGCAGCTACTTCTAATTTTTCGAAATTTTTATTGCTTGCAAAAGTTACTTGAGCTTTAAACTTATTCGGAAATGCTTAAATCCGAACAAAAACCCTCGTGTCGACGATACGTAGAAAGTTCCGAAATGCCCCCTCAATACGTTTAAGCTGAAAAAAATTAATGCGTTGTTCGACTTTGCTTGAGTTTTCCGTCGACACCTGGTCGGCTGCTGGCGCTGATTCTGGCGCTTCGCACTCCCTAACCCCTTTAGAGGAGCTTGACCACATTCTTCGAAGTCCTTCTAAATAGAAACTTTTCGGACATTGGCATTTTTTCCGCCTTTTTTCACTTTTCTTCAACCATTTTTCGGTCTCCACTGTATTTAACTAAAAGTAATCCCAACCACCGAATTCCTGAAATTCTCGTGTTAACTCACGAGATGTATTGACAATATATCTTTTCAAAGGGCATATTCCTAAGCTAACGTTTTTTCCTAAACACCGGTACCGGGGAAATCCATGGGTTTCGAAGCAGATTTCCGGCTTTGGGTGACCTTGCTGCATCCCAGAGCTGTTGCGGTACTTGAATGAGCCGAGATGCTCCTAGAAAAACCCTAAACCATGCCCGCATAGCGCAGCTTTTTGCACTTTTTTAAGAAGCTCCAACTCTCCCTGGCGTGTAGCATCAAGTACCTTTTTACAGTTTCTTGATCCTGCATTTTGATCGTTATGCTTATCCGCGGTGTTTCCGCGAAAATCATTGCATTTTTACGGTATCGTAGCCTACTTAAGCACGTCTTTAATGTTGTTCAAACATGTGCTTTCTGATTTTACGGCGCGTCCCAGAAACATCGGACTCGCGTAAGTACGCCACAAAATCACCCCCAGACAGGCCGATTTCTGCGCTTCTCCGTACACCATTTGGAGCACCGCCATAAAACGCGATGATTGGTCTGTGAGCGCGTGTCTTTGCACTGTGGTTCGCCTCAAAACGAGCTTCCTCGTTTTTCATCGTGATCTTTCGAACTTCTTTGTCGCACCACCGCTTGGATTTGCCAGTTTTGATCCGCGTCACCCCATTGTTGGGCTGATCCGGGTGTGCGAAACCCGCCAGCTCTTGGATACCAGTTTAGGTCAGCGCATCGATTTTATTTCGTCGTCGTCTTGACATTCTATCCATTGTTATTTTGAGAGTTTTAAAGGGCCCAGGAAGTAGAAGAGGAAATTTGTCATCGATGGCATTGTTATAGACATCCAGCTTCTGTATTCCGATTGGCGATCGTATTTTAAATCTCCTTTTCTTAAGTTTCTATCGTTTTGAGGGTTTTTCACTTTCTTTTAATTTTAATATGATTCTAATTCTAAATTGTTCTCTTTTCGTCCTTTCTCTTTCAATAATTAAATTAAAAAATCTGAGGCGGTTTTTAGCATGAGTCAACGACCACTCTTATTATTTGCTGCTATATTTTCTATCGCGATTGCAAGGAGTAAATTTCAGTAAGTACTTTCCAGCAAATTAAGTCTGGTATCTTTTTTCAAGGGTTTCCGAGCCAGCAGCCCCTGTAGAAATCCCAGAAGAGTCCGAAGAATATTATGAAGTGGTAAGCTTTGAACTGTTGTGGTAACTCGCACTCAGTTGATCTGACTACTGGGGGCTCTGAATAATGCAAAACTTTTGGGTATGAGTCTTAAGCTTAGTAAGCTTTAGTAAGCAGGTGTTAATGACTATAAGCCTTGAAAATGCTGATCCTGCCTTGAGCAATTGTATGTCCTTTTAAACTTCAGGACGACGACGCCGAAGAGCTGGACACAGAACCTTTGGCGGACGAGAGCCCGATTCGGCAATTACTGTTCTATCGGGAAAGGAATCTGGGAAAACTACCGCTACCCCGAAGGGTTTTTGTGAGTTTGAATACAGTACGAATTCAAAAAATTTCGGAATTTAGCCTGTGCTCCGAAACGGTCCCGTAAAACCTGCCAAGCAGCTCGATCTCTCTAACGATGTCCTGTTCCCGTCATTTTTCTAATTCTTTGCAAATAACTTGAATTACCTTACGCTATCGATCTCTCGGGTGTGAATAAAGTATGTAATAAACAGATTTTTAAAGTCCAGCAAGTTTCGAAGTCCCAGAGAGAAAGCGACAGCGAGAAATAGAGAGATACAGAGTGAGAGAGAGAGAGAGAGAGAGAGCTATAGAGAGAGACAGAGGTAAGAGAGAGAAAGCGTGAGAGAGCGAGAGAGTGAGAGCGCTCAAAAGAGAGAGAGGGAAGCAGGAAGGGAGAGGGAGGGCGAGAGAGAGAGAGAGAGAGAGACAGCGAGATATAGGAAAAGCAGCGATATAAGGCGGAGGTAAATAGAAAGCTACAAAGAGGATGCGAGAGATTGAGAGAGGGAGAGAGACAGGGAGAGAGAGAGACAGGGAGAGAGAGAGATAAACGCTCCGATCCAATACCCCTGGATGTAGACGTTTTTTGGGGTCAGCAGTAATTAGTAATTCGTGGCACCCAAACCTTGTAGTCTGTACTCTATAACGTGTGTTTTATGAATGTTGACGTAGTACAAGTTTTTTGCATCTTCGATGCTTTATTATCCTATTAGAAGTCTGGTAGTGTGGTTTCCGGTCGACGGGTATGAATCACAACGCGGAGTTATGGTGGGTCAAGAAGATGGGGACGCATTAATGACAGGGTTTAATAATTATTTATGTTATGCTTGTAGCTAGCGAAATTCGAAAAGTACTCTGGTAACCGGGCTAGTTGTTGTAATCATTGGGCAATTTTTTCTTCAATTCTTTTTTTTTGGTTTTTCGAAAGTAAATATTACTTTTTTTAGATTTTTTTGATAAAATGACGGGAATCCGATGAGGGGTGGGGGTGGGGGGATACACGAATCGATAGAACCCGTTTTTTTGAGCAGGAAAAATTGCATATTCTATCGGGGGGGAGGTTGTAGTTTGTAGTCAGTGTAGGGTGTCGATGAGCTTATGACGCGCCGGGTAGTCCGGAGAGGATGGCGTTCGAGTCGAGCTAAAATCCATCAGTTTTTAGTGTTATTTAATATGGATAAAAGAAGTTAAGCTGCTCTCTATCCCTCTCTCTCTCTCTCACTCTCTCTCTCTCTCTCTATCTCTCCCTCTCTACCCACCTTGAAATCCTTCCACGCTTCGCATAGCTGCACCTCGACAGCCGGCAGAATTGGTGCGGCTCGAAGTTCGGCTTGAGCAAGATGGTGAGAGCGTGGAGACCATTTAAAGCCGGTGGTCGTCGTGGTAGACGGGTACCAGCTACCCGGCTCGGGGCGGATCGGGTCTGGAAATTAGGAGGTAATGAATTAGTTCGATGCTTTCCTCTCTCTCGCTCTCTCTCGCTCTCTCTCTCTCACTCTCCCTCTCTCGCTCTCTCTCCACTCACTTCTCTGCGGATGCTGCTGGAAGAGGTCATAGACGGAGATTGGGGTGAAGTGCTGCGAGGAATGGGTTGACGCGTCGCTGACCGGGCCGTGGGCTGTACTCGTCGAAGGCGTCGCCGCCGACCAATCGAATACTGGAGGTGTTCCAGGCAGATTTTGGGGCGACTCGTTGAAGGAGGACATCTGCGAGACGTGCGAGACGCGCCGGGAACGCGGCGCGCTCCCCGGCGCCTTGTCGAGCGCGGTGAGGGATTTCTGAAATTGAAAAAATTAGGGATTGCGGGGGGCGGTGAGGTACCTCCAAACGATGAAGCATATAAATAACGTTAATTTCAGAATTTATTAGGCTTTTTAATGTATGATCCTTTAACCTACTCGTTGCATATAGGCGGAGTGCGCATCAGTCAAAGAAGCCCGTTCTTGGTGCGTTGGTTGGTGCAGCCCGGAAAGTACCATCTCCTCGATGACCGCGACGTTTTGGGCTTCGCTCATTCGCTGGAAAAAACGACTCATAGGCTTCTTGTTTTCACTAATAAACTCTGCTAGTCTGCCACAAAGTTCAGAAGTCCTTGAATTAAGCCACATTAATTTACCCTCTCCGCCGCCTCGGCCGCAATGATCTGTGAAGTCAGTGGGACGTCCTGGATCATCAACGCTGAGGTCGAGCTGAAGAATATAATTTTTCGATTGTCGACATCTGAAGAACAGGGCCAAAGCCAAGAAATTCCACTACCAACCTGGCTACACTTTGCACACTGTCCGCATCGTCATCCTCTTCATCGTCAAAATCTTCATCGTCTCCTTTGCCGATCGTTTCCGGGCTGCTCGGTCCAGCGGAACCGATCATTTCTGAAAGATTGAGGTAATTATGAAGTGGTTTCTTTTGCTCTCGCTCCCTCTCTCTCCACTCACCTCCAGCCAAATCCTTGCCCAGCAGTCGCATCAACTCCTGCTCCATCTCCCCTGCCGTAGCAGGAGCTGGAGTTTGAGAGTCGGACTTGACGCGCTTGGTCTTCTTCTTCTGGACGATCTCCTCCTTGGGGGCCGTGTACACCGGCGTGTTCAGCTTCGGGGTCAACGGGACCGGTTGCGCCAGATTTTGGGGTTGTTGCACGGCCGCTAAAATTTTTAATTTAATTAGTTTATCGTTTTCGAGCTCCAATTGATTCGCCTCAATTGAGTCCGACTCAAAGAGATACTTGAATACAAATAAAGTCTGAAAAAGGCGAAAATTAAATAAATATATACACCAAAGAAGTAGTTTTTTACCTTAAAAAACTTTTAAGATCTCCCCCACAAATAGCAAATCTCAAAAAGCAAAATGATGCCTCAGGTTGATTTCGGTGAATGTGTTCATCAACATTATCCTTTAGCTGGTGGTACATTTTTGTCCTCCTCGGCACCGGACGGGGGTCGAACCCGCATAGGCGGGCGCCGCACCCCCCGCCCCCTAACCCCTCAGCCACACAGGCAGCACTCACGGGGTGGTGCTGTGGAAAAGATGTGCATGAAGGCGCTCCCCGTCAGCCCCTTCGGTTCGTTGCCCACTGGTCTGAAAAGGGTTTTCTATGTAATTTTTATGGTTTTTTTGCATAACGATATTAATAATGGAATTAAGGTCCCCTAAGCCCATTTTGGACACTTATTTTTGTTATTTTAGAAGGCAAACTAGCAGAGATTTGCTTGGATTTTTTTTGATTTACTCCATATTTTTTTGCATAATGCGTTGTTAGCAAGCTAGCAAAGATCATTTCGGAAGTCTATTTAGAAATTCCCGGAAGCTGACGTCTGTTTTCTGAACGAATTCATAGACAAAAAAAACTAGTATATAAATCCACTTTCTATTTTTCAGTAATTATCTAGTGGCGATTTCGAAGTACCAATAGTCATTTATGAGCAAACTAGCAAAGATTCTTTAGGAAATCAAAATTAGGGAAATTGGGATAGCCGGTGTGGTTTCATCCAGTTTTTTTAAGCTTTTTTAGGCATCATCGCAGATATTTTTCGCAAAATCAGCTTTTTTCCGAATTTTTTTGGATAATTGATTTATTTTTAGACTTTTTGGCAGGCTAGCAAAGATTCTTTAGGAAAATCCATCCAAAAAAAAAACTCACCGAAACAGCGAATCCGAGGGCGTGATTTTTCGGCGTTCATCGTCAGATCGAGGTGTGGAAGTTGTTGGAGATAAATCCTGATGGATGAGCTCCATCGCCGAGTTCATCTTCTCGTTCACGCCTGAATCATCAATACAAAAATCGAACTCTTGCGAAAAACTCACTTTTCGGGACGACCGGGGTGAAGGCGCTGCGGTCTTTCGTGCGCACGACCGGGGATTTTCCTTGCGGTTGCTTGGGAGCCTGAAAAAGTTCATCCAGTTTTAAGTCGTGAAATCGACTTTTCGTACGTTACTGTACGCTGTACGCTTCGGAATCAAGAACCTGCATATTTTTTAAGCTTTTTCTAACGTTTTATTTGCTAAATCGACCCCTGTAAGCAAAACAAGCTTTTGCCTGGTTCAGTCGCTAAGCTAAGGCCCCAATACCGTACCTTTGTTGCCGCCTTTGCTCGCCTCGCCTGCTCCTTCTTCACCCACTGCTGCAACTCGGACACGAACGGGTACACCGTATAGAAGCGGCTGCTCGAGTTCGAGGAGGTGGCCGTCGCCTTGTTGTCCCACTTGTCCTGGGGCAGATCCCAGATTTTGAACCATTGGATTTTTCTGAAACGGGTACATTCTAGCGCTTAGCTAGGACCCTTAGATTCCAAAAATTTTCCCAAAGAATTTTTGCTGGCTTGCCTGAAGTTAAAACTACGAACCTAATCTCCTTTTTCGTCATCGGTGCAAAGGGGTAGTCGGCCGGAACGTCGGGGATGATATAGAGGCGGACCATGGTGTCTCCGATGAATTTCTGAAGGATCGATTTCATGAGAGAGAGAAAGAGAGAGCGAGAGAGAGCCAGAGCGATAGAGACAAACCCTACCTGCAGCTTCTTCTCTGTCCCATTCGGCCTATCGATACCAAAATCGTAGCCCGTCTCCTCGTGAACTTCTCGCATCGCGCAGGCGCGTGGCTCCTCGCCCTCGTTGATCTGAAACATAAGAATTTTTAGATTAAGGTAGTTGTAGTTTATATTCTCTAAATTTTGGAAAAGTTTTTTCTACCTACCAGTCCATATATGCCATTACGATATTAGGCATTAGAAATTAGCAAAATTACATACCTTCCCCTTCGGGAAACCCCAGCTGTTTTTCGAGTAGTAGCCCTGGACGAGGAGGACGTAGTTGAGCGACGAGTCGAGCAGGATGGCACCATAGGTCGGCACGGCCGACTTGTATTGCCGCCACTCGTCCACGACGCGGTCGACATCCCGGGCGAACGCCTTCAGGAAGTCGCAGTTCGCGAACATTTGCCTGAAAAAAGGTTATACAAGTAGAAAACAAAGCTCGGCTTAGGCTTAGGCTTAGGCTTAAGGCTTAGGCTTAGGAATAGGCTTAGGCTTAGACATAGGCATAGGCTTAAGCTTCATAAGCTTGGGCTTAGGCTTAGGTTGAGCTTAGGCTTAGGCTTACTTCGAGAACTCCTTCATCCCGAGCGTATGGCAATCGGCCCGATCTTTGCAGTAAATGTCGAGGTACATCCAGAAGGCCAGCTCGATTTGGAAGCAGATGCGCACCTGGTTCGTTTGCTAAAAACACATTCAATTTTTTATTTATCTAGAGTTTCTACCTCATCAGGCGGTAGATTGTTCAAAAATCGGAAGCACAGATCGTCGAGTACTTCTTCGGGGATTGGGGGCTAAAAATTGGGTTAGCTTACCTTACATATATTTCATAGAAGCTTCAGAGCTACGTTACATTCCTAGCGACATACCCCGGAAGACGTCGAGGCATTTTGGGACTTTGTCCTGGGCGAATGGGCAAACTTGACGCCCGTGTTGTAGAACGGGATCAGGTCGGCGGTGTTGGTGGGGAAGTAATCTTGGTACTGAAAAGGTATATGATACTATACGTCTAATTGATGAAGCTTCAGAATTCGTGGTCGTAATTCCTAGCATGAACATCATATTCAAGGAGTTCGGTTTCGGTTTTGCAGCAAATTTAAGCTGATGAAGCTCCAAAAGTTACGGTGTTCGGCGTCTGATTTCCTAAGAAACGCCAGCTTCAAGAAGTTGAACTTGCGCGTTGTCACTGATTCTAGCCGCTTTTTCAGGTTATTCTCAAGCTTCAAAACCGGATATCTACGTTCTAGGGGTGGCGACGTCTTCAAGACGTACAACTGGTGGTTTTTGAGCAATTCCAGTGCGCTTGATATATTGGAAGCTTCAAATTTCAGATTTAAAGTTCTAGAGGCTACAATGACTTCAAGGCGTTCGGTTTTCCATATCAACCCACCGGATCCGGCTGCTGCGGCCCGGTGTGCTGGAATCGTTGCGCCACGGAAGTGGCACGCGACGGCTTCTGCTTCGGCGACGCCCAGATGTTCTTCAGGCTCGGGTCGAAGCCGTATTTCGAGGTGGAGGGCTGAAAATACGCAATATGACGTCGTGAAACGTAGCGTAGACTGTCAAAATAGGTTTTAAACGTGTAAAAACATTTTAAAAAAAACTCGATTTTTCAACTGCACCCACCATCTTCGAGTTCTCGAACACATAAACCCGATTCGGGTCGAAGCTGGGTCCTCGGCTGCTGCTCGGCCCACCGTTGTTGTGGTGGTAGTTGTTGTTGTTGTTGTTTCTGCTGGCCCCTGGTGACTTTTGGGGCTTTTGCGGTGTTTTCTGAAAGATATTTAGTAGATTAAGCCATTTCTAGGTATATTTTAGTTTATTAATGGTCGCTTATAAATAAAATAAACATTTACAAAATCGAATTAAATTCAATTATACTTACACTTTGCCGTGATGGTCCCGGCTGTCTGGCGAGGCTTTCGGGGGACAGTTGACGAGCCGCCGATGATGTTCGTGCCGGCGGGCCCTGCGCGATCTGGAGCAGCAGACTGCGGATCTCGGGGCTTTCCACGTCAGCAAACTAAAAAAATCATATCTCCATCTGTTTATTTTATTTTTTTGCAGATAGTCATTCCAAAAATACGCATTTTCGGGCTATTAAACTACCATTTAACTATTGTATGAAGTTGTCAGACGCCGGAAATTCTAATTAAACTTATGGATGCTTTCCAAATTATCACGAAAACCCCCGAAATAACCACCGGAAAGGCACAAAAATCCCAAGGTCATCCTACTACGAACAAATCAACGTCAAATCGTCGGGTGCGACATTTCCGGAAAGCATTATCGCCCTGGGAAACGACCCGCCGGGACCGGAACCGGTTTCCCACCGGCTCCCGCGCCAATTTTGCGTAGAATTTGCTGCCCCGCTCCTGACTTACATTGCTGCCCGTCTGGAAAGCGTCGACACCGCTCATGTCCACCGGCCTGACGCGGGCCTGCTTGTTGCTGCGCCGGGTGTCCTGATGTTGCATCCTTTCCGGCCTGTAATGGGTTATCTCGAATTCGCGTTGTTTGATGATTTAATAAGGGAGATCGTGGAATTCCTTAGGTAAGAGAAAGGTGTGATAATACATGAAATGAGATAAAAGTGTGCGCTAGATGCGATGTAAAAAAAGATCTACGTAATCAATTTACTGATAATATGGAAAAAATAAAAAACTTCATTTAATTGGACGAATTCGATAAAGAAATCTGAAAAAAGTTATTTTGTGAAAAGGAAAACTTGAAGACAAGAGTAAAAGCCATACAACTGACTGCCTGACTCCTAGGGAGTAAGGGTTGCGTGCAGCTGCACGCAGATGCCGACCCACCACTGAAATCTCACTTATCAAATAGTGGGTTCGGGTCGACGCACTAATGTTTCGTCGTAATGATAAACATTCGCCCCAAATTCCCCATTACTTTCCAAAAAAATAGACGGATTGATAATAATGATCCTACTAACGATTTTATAACTTTAAATAACATTCCTAGCGCGAACCCTTGATTCCCGGTTCCGAGCCAGATCCAGACACCAAAGAATTTCACATCAAAACAGAAGAAAAACACCTTCTGCCAACCCCTCAGATAAACAGCATTTCGAAACCGGTTGTTTTCAATGGCATTCCGGCTTCAAAAGTTATTACATCATCATTTAACCGAAATAATTGGCGCGAAAAAGGGAAATGTCAATCGCGGCGGGGGCTTCTCCCCGAAACCCACCGACAAGCACGGTCTCGTTTTTTAGTATAGATCTCGGAAAAAGGGTCAAAAAGCCGTGGGTGAGGCGAAAGTGAACACGGCGGAATCCCGGGCGGCCGCGGCGATAAGCCTTGATGGAAGGGTCGAGAGGTCGCGCTGACCGCACTCCGTCTCTGCACCCTCTCGCTCTCTAACGCGTCAACAGGTGCCCCGTGGAGCCCCTTTCCGAAAATGTGTAATTTTCCGCCAAACGATGATTCGAATTTCCCCGAAATGTTCTCTTCTCTCACCTTGGCTCATTTTTACATCGAGTAGAAGGCTTTCAATTTTATAAAAACAGCTTACTAAATTCACATTGATATTCACCCCGAAAGTTCCAATAAGTTTTTCGAAAAACAGGCTTTTGTATTGTATTTACGAGAATTTTGCGGTTCCGGCGAGCTTTTGCACGATAAATCTGTGAAACAAGGCAATTTATTAGATTCACATTGATAGAACTTTCTTTCATGTCTCAACCCATGCGTTTTACGAAACAAAACGTTCTCCGGTATTGTTTATTTCAAGTGCTTTTGTCTGATCTCGCTTTTCGCCCACAAAGAAATCTAGCTAGCAACTTTGCAGGTGAAATTCAAAGAAATAGCTTTGTTCCCTTTTACCTGCGATAACGTCCTAAGCGTATAAATAATGGCTACGAAAAACACGTCTCTCGATTGTTTATATTGGCAATTTCCGTTGAGCGAATCTCTACAGACTACGCCGACCTTTCAAGAGAAATGGAACACGTGTTTCCTCAAGTTTAGGAGTTTGGGCAAATCTGAATTCGTAGGCCTATCCCCTCCTTGCGTTTGCCTTCTAAATCTGCCTTTTTTTTGTTTTCCCCATTTGATTTTCCTTATTGACGTTTTTATATTCCTTTTTTTTCAGCCAATCTCATCAACGTCAGCCGTTTTTTGAAAGCTGCAAAGATGACGATCAGCAAGAACAACAAGATGATGCAGCACCTCAACTTCCGCATGCGGATCATGTTGCAGGATGGACGCACGTTCGTCGGCTATTTTAGGGGTACGTCATGCCCTTCATTGCTGTATCAAACTCATTTTCAGCCTTCGACAAGCACATGAACCTGCTGCTCACCGATTGCGAGGAGTTCCGCAGCATCAAGCCGAAGGCCGGCAAGAAGGCCGACGGTGAAGAGAAGCGGATGCTGGGTTGGTTTTTTATCTTTGTCGTTGGAGAGAGCTTGTTTTTGAGTGTATTAATTTTTTTGCCTTTAGGACTCGTCCTTCTTCGTGGCGAGCACATCGTCTCGCTGACGGTCGAGGGCCCGCCGCCCAAGGATGAGGAAGGCCCACGTCTCCCCAAGGCTGGCGGCAACGCTGGACCCGGACAGGCCAAGCCCGCCGGACGTGGCATGCCGATCGCCCCTACTGGACCCGCTGCTCCCGCTGGACTTCAGGTACCAAATTCTAGAAGTAAATTAACGTGTTTCTTTCTAGGGAGCTGTTCGTGGTGTCGGCGGCCCGTCGATGGGAATGATGCAGCCCGGCTACGGAGGACCCGGTGCCCCGCCTCGTCAATTCTAAACACTTTGGAACCACAATTGGCTATTTATCCCTTTTTTTTGTGTCTAACATATTCCATCAACGTACACCATCCCGATGTCCCTTACACATGATCTACCACCCGAATTGTTCATTGTTTCGTTTTTGTCGTAAGTTGTGACATTGTATCTCATTTGTTCATATGGGTCTCAATAAATTTGTTCTAGCCACAATTGGTCAAAAAGAAATGCAAAAAAAGTTGTTGCTATCGTTACCTGGTTGTGGGTTGGGTGTTCGTGATACTGGATTTTACTTATTTACTTGTTCATCGCCTCGTTTTAGTGGACCCACCATGCCGCCCAAGAAGGTCGTCGAGGAGCCGCCGCCACTTATCGGCCGCCTGGGCACCAACTTGAAGGTGCAGATTTCATCAAATCCCTTGGAAAATCGTTCTTTTCTAGGTCGGTATTCTGGGTCTGCCCAACGTGGGCAAAAGCACGTTCTTCAACGTGCTCACGAAGAGCGAGGCCCAGGCCGAGAATTTCCCCTTCTGCACCATCGACCCCAACGAGAGCAGGTTCATCGGCCTTTCTCACCATAACTTTTTGTCTAGGGTCCCGGTCGCCGATCCACGATTTGATTGGCTCGTCAACTTCTTCAAGCCTGCCAGCAAGGTTCCCGCCTTCCTGAACGTCACCGATATTGCTGGACTTGTGAAAGGTGTTCTGTTTTTGCGTTAGTGGCAACTTTGATTTCTAGGTGCTTCTGAGGGACAAGGGCTCGGAAATGCTTTCCTGTCCCACGTCTCGGCTTGCGACGCACTTTTCCATCTGTGCCGAGCATTCGATGATGACGACATCACGCACGTCGAAGGTGTGCTCGACATTTTTTGCTTCAAACTTTGTTTCTAGGCGAGATCAACCCGGTCCGTGATTTGGATATCATCTCCGACGAATTGCGCCTGAAGGATCTACAATATTTGGACGGCTCTGTCAAGAAGCTGGAGACGCTAGTTGTGCGGGCAAACGACAAGACCAAGAAGGTATAACGCACCGCCTTTAGCTTGACTTTTTTTGCAGCTCGAATACGACACGCTACTCAAGGTTCAAAAGATGCTCACCGACGAGAAGACGCCGGTGCGGAAAGCGGTACCTTGGTTTCCTACTTCCCGTGATGCCGTTTAGGCATGGAACGAGAAGGAGATCGAGATCCTGAACAAGCACCTGTTCCTCACTGCCAAGCCGATCGTCTACCTGGTCAACTTGAGTGAAGCTGATTATATTCGAAAGGTACTTTTTGCTTTTCATTTTAATTTCTAAACTCGTTTTCAGAAGAACAAGTGGCTGCCGAAAATTAAGGCCTGGATTGACGAGAACGACCCCGCGGCCAAGCTGATCCCGTTCTCAGGTGAGGCTCTTTTTCCGGTAGCTTTTTGAAACGTATTTTTAGGTGCCTTTGAACTAAAGAGCATCGAGATGCCGGAGGATGAGCGCGAGAAGTTCTACAAGGAAGTGGGCGCCACGTCGAATCTCGACAAGATTGTGCACACCGGATACGAGGCCCTCCAACTCCAGTACTTCTTCACGGCCGGAGAGGACGAAGTCAAGTGCTGGACAATTCAGGTGCGTCCGTTGCGTCCCTTTTTTCATGATTCCTTTTTTCAGAAGGGCACAAAGGCGCCACAGGCTGCCGGACGAATCCACACCGACTTCGAGAAGGGCTTCATCATGGCCGAGGTGATGAAGGTGGCCGATCTTATGGAGGAGGGCTCGGAAGTAAAGGTACGCCCCGGATTTCTCTCCCCCCATTTTGCCGAATTTTAGGTGAAAGCCGCCGGAAAATATCGACAGCAGGGTCGAAACTACACCTGCGAAGACGGTGACATCATCTTCTTCAAGTTCAACGCCGGCGCCGGTCTGACGGGCAAGAAGAAATAGATTGCGAATTTTGAATTTGTCGTTTCACATAATTGGGTACCGTTAGTTGGTCATCTTTCCCCCATGTTTTGCCCCTTTGCAGTGTCGTTCACGGTTTCGGACTTTTCTTTGTGATTCTGTTAAACTTGTTGTATTTGTTGCTTTCTGGTTCTTGTTCGCCCGTGTTCAGCCAGCGTAATTTATGGATAAAGTTTCTTACTTATATGGTTCACGAGAAAATTTGCCGTTCGATAGCGTGTTGATTTTTTGTGCTCAGAGTTTTTCGTTGTACATTGCCTCGTGTGAAAATGCGCTCGATTTTGGCCGATTCCACGTTAGTATGTCCCACTGATACTATCGCGTCCGCACACGGCTTTTCCGCCTAACTCTGCCCCGAAAAGCGGCGTTGTCTATTCCGCGGATCGGCGTGGATCCCGAGCGCTGGGAACGGGACCACAACATGCTGCTCCCTCCGCGATAGCAGGCTATTTCGTCACTCTGCCGTCTAATTTCTCTTCCCAACGTAGCACCCCCCGGATGTTCAACAGCTATAGCTTTACCGTTTAAGCCTTGTTGGCCGCGCGGAGTGTTTTGGTAGATTACGGGGCGGTTCCTGGGCTTCGTGTGCGCCTGGAAAGTTATACCTACAAAATATCCGCATAGAACAGGTTACTCTACGTTTTGAGTTGCAACGTGGAATCAAAAAAGTACAGTGGCTGAGTCATTTTTTCCGAAATTGGACTGGGAACGGGCGGCTTTTGCTTGTGCTTCGTTTTCCACTGTCCTTTTCCCTTTTTGAGTTTGTTTTTACGATTCTGATCACCATTTCCACTTTTTCAGATGAGGACGCTCATCGCCTGGGTCGTTCTGCTGTGCTGTTGCGCGGTGCGCGCAGATGAGCACGACCACATGTACGAAGCGAACGAGGAGGTGGTGCTGTGGATGAACACGGTCAGTTTTTACAAGATATCTCTCCCTTCATATCTTCCAAAAAGTCAAGTTTTTGCTGTCCCAATTTCGTGCCTTTTGTCTTTCTGAGCTTAGTTCCGCTACGTTAATTTTGGCTTTGTGTTTGTCTAGACAAACTTGTTCAATTTACCTTTTTAGGTCGGGCCCTACAGCAACCGCCAGGAAACGTACACATACTTCTCGTTGCCGTTCTGCCGTGGTCCCAAGGAAACCATCGGTCATTACCACGAAACGATGGGCGAATCATTGCTCGGCGTCGAGCTCGACTTCTCCGGGCTGGAAATCAAGTACAGAAGTAAGCCTTCTTTTTATTTCTTTGCAAATTCTTTTTATTTAGCGGAAGTCACCAAGAACGTCTACTGCAAAAAGACGCTCACCACCGAGGAGTACAAGACCTTCGTCTATGCAGTCAAGAACCAGTACGCCTACCAGATGTACCTCGACGATATGCCAATCTGGGGTAATTTTTGTAACCTTGGCTTGTAAATATCGATGTTTAGGCATGGTCGGTGAAGTTGACAACAAGGTCAGCCCGCCCGCCTTCAAGATCTTCACTCACAAGAAGCTCGAGATTGGATACAACGGAAAACAGGTTTGCACTTTTTTCGTACAGATTCATCTCCGCTTTTAGATTGTTGATGTGAACCTCACCACCGATGGCCGGGTCGAGCTGCGCCCAAATGCCCTTCTCGAGTTCAGGTATGCTTTACGAAACTGTTCCTCTTACTCTCATTTTGCTTTTTAGCTACGAAGTCACATGGACGAAGAGCGACGTGAAGTTCCAGGATCGATTCGACAAGTTCTTGGACCCGTCCTTCTTCCAGCACAGGGTTTGTAAAGCCCTCTTTTTTGTAATGGACCTTTTAGATTCACTGGTTCTCCATTTTCAACTCGTTCATGATGGTCGTGTTCCTCGTCGGCCTCGTGTGGATGATCCTGATGCGCACGCTGCGCCGCGATTACGCCCGTTATGAGAAGGGCGAGACTGGAGACGATTTGGTTAGTTTTTCTTTTTTATTAATTTACTTCCTTTGTAGGATGCTGACCTTGGCGACGAGTACGGCTGGAAGCAAGTGCACGGTGACGTCTTCCGCCCGCCAGCCTTGCCGATGGCGTTCGCCTCTCTGATCGGCTCCGGCTACCACGTGTTTGCTGTCGCCATCATCACGACGGTGCTGGCCATCGTCGGCGAATTTTATACCGAGTACGAATTCGTTATTATTCTGCGAATCTCTGTTTTAGGCGTGGATCCCTGCTTTCCGCCTCGATCTTCGTGTACGCCGCCTGCGCCCCGATCAACGGATACGCCGGAGGCTCGATGTATTCGCGTTTCGGAGGCAAGCACTGGATCCGCCAGATGCTCTTCGGTAGGCTTCGTTTTAACATTTTTTTCCTCGTGCTCTCGCTATTACTATTTTTTTTTTCAGGCGCTTTCCTGCTCCCATCTGGCGTCTGCGGCCTAGCATTCCTCATCAACTTCATCGCCATCTACTACCATGCCTCTCGCGCCATCCCGTTCACCGTGATGGTATTATTTTGCTGCTAGCCTCAATGTTATTTGTCTAGTTGGCCGTCTCCGCGATCTGCCTGTTCGTCATCCTGCCGCTGACACTCGTTGGCACCGTGCTCGGACGCAACATGGGCGGCCAGGGCGACTACCCGTGCAGGTACAAAATGCGGTCTCTATTCTACCCTTGTTGCTCTTGTTGTCTAGGACGCAGAATCGTTATACGTGTCCCTGTTCTCACTGTCTGCAAACCACCTACGGCTACAGGTGGCTAACACCTAAACAGAGGAACACTATTTTTCAGCGTGCTTTGTTAGTTGTCGCGTTTCGTAGCGTTCGTAGTCATAGGCACTAAATTGTTGAACTTTTGTCCGACCGCAACCTAAAAATTGGGTTTTCTCTCTTCTTTTTCTCGAAAACCGAGTGGTCAAAAACAACAGCGCGATTCATTATCAGTCTTGTTATGCGGAATAGCTTATTCTTTGTTGCTCTGTAGCCATTAGCGCGTACAATTTCTTGAAATTTTGTTTAGCAAATTATTTTCAGGGTCAACGCCGTCCCGCGCCCGATCCCCGACAAGAAGTGGTTCGTCCAGCCGTGGCTGATCTGCCTGGCCGGTGGTGTGTTGCCGTTCGGCAGCATTTTCA